GCTTTTATAAGAACGAAATGGCGCTTTTAGTGACATTTTGCATACAAATCCCCATCTAGTAGGGCGCAGTCACCCAGTTTCGGTGGAAGTGCGCGAGTTCGATTGGGATTCAAGTAGGAAGGGAGCGTCTCAGCTTCCTCGGACCAAGACCATTCGACTCAGCACCCCGAAGACTACAACTGGTGAAATTTTAATTTTTGCCTTAACTTCCCCTTTAAAGCATGTGACTCGGCTGGTGAGACAGCGCCAGCAGGTACATGTGTACCCAGCTCCGACCTGGTTGAAATGGTTGCGCCAGGTACACGTGTACCCGGCTGTCCTACAATCCTAGAGCAGACACTGCTTACCCCTCTGGCGATGCCTGCAAGTGTGCAGCTTTGCTCTGTGATTGGCCCTCTGTCACCACTTCGCACAGCACATTCACTTTGTCCATTAGGAGTCATTCGAGGTTGTTCGGCGATCATGGCTGGCTACGTGTCTGGCGTGCTTGGCGTAACACAACGTAGAGCGAAATACAAAGTAAGTTATGTAGGTTTCCGCAGGAGGTCCTGAGGACATGTATGATATTAGTAAGTGCATGCGGACTTTCAGTGCCTAGAAATCTGCCCTGCAACCAAGCATCTACCTACATGACTTGTACGCCATTGGGTCACTAAAAAGAAAGGCATTGTAGGGGGACTTGTTACTGCTTACTGTGCAGTTCACCCACAGAAACAGGTAGGTCAGTAAGGTGATGCCCAGTGTGTGCGCCTAAGAGGCTAAGTCGTGTCGCATACAAACGGTCCAATATTGCCTTACCTTGCCCCATGCCTGTATTGCTGCTCATTCTGCCCTTCGGCGCATCAAAAGCCAGGATGGTAAAACCACCCCCGGCGAAATGGCGGCTGCATTGGAGTCTTGACATCCGATTCAACTACAGTATCAGCGTAATACGTAAGTAGCCATTCCTGAAATTACTACCGGATTAATCTGCCTACCCCTGTTCAATGGCTCGGTTTGAGCAGCCTGACCTTGGACTCCGTGACTGGGGCACGGCCACGGCCATCGGTATGGCTATCCTATCAAATGCACACCCGACAATGTTCATTATTTTGGCAACATTAGTGACAAGGTGAGCAGTTTATGACCCAAGATGTGTCATTGTGCTACCTACGGTGTCCTCAGTGTTTGGAGAAGGATGTGATGACCAGTATGCCGACAAAAACTTGCGCCGGACTTGTGGTGTGATCTCCCTGCCAGGACCATGGGCTACTTCTAAATGTACATATACATGCGAGTACTAACAGGTATAGAAGTTACCATACAAGACGTGTAGACTTCGGCAGTGATCAGTGCTAATCACACTGATGGGGGACTTCCGCGGTTATCATCACACCTCATTCAGCATCTCCTATAGGATGTGCAGTATGAATATTGGATCTCACTATAGGATGTGCAGTATGAATACTGGATGGACATGTACACGCACCGGTACAAGTACATGGCATAGTAGGTTTATCGTCAGGCTTATGACGCATATACATGTAGCTGAGTAAGCTCACATGAAAGATCAAAAAAATTAATTGATGAGAGTCATGACATGTATCTTTGGACAAGGTTGAACCAGTGCAGTCTGTCTTTAGTTCCTCCGCTTCCAAAAGAGACATGTTGAGAAGTAAAAGATCATTCCTATTATTTTCTACGCACCTGGTCAAGGGGCGACCTCTGGGCTTCTTTTAAAAATATGCCTGTTATCCTCTTAGTTTTGGTTATAACTTATATTGATTGACCAAAGACTGTAGGAGCCCATCGAGGGGCATTCCTTTGAAATGAAAGAGAAGGAAGATGAGTGCTATGTACTGTCTGGTTAGTCAATGCTGATGAGAGAAACCAGGTATATGCCAGAGGCAGAAGTAGGTAATTGTACCTACTCGCAGAACCTTGCGGGGGAGGGGGTGTACGAACCTCAGCTGCCGACGATGCTCAATCTCCTGAACACATGTGGGTGATGAATTCCAGACCGGGAGTTTGTGTCAAACACTGGTCTTATGAGCAAAATTTAGTAATCGCGGTCGGGTTTAGATGGACAATCATTGTATGCCGGCGCTAGCTGCAGTTCAGCTGTCTCAGTGCAGTGGGAGATACGTGCATGTTCGGGAGCTGAACCGCAGTGCAACCGCGCAGATCAGTAGAATAATGATGGCCCATCGCATGTAGCGATGTGTATGCAAAAGGCCTTTAAGGGGGATGTCAGAGTAAGTCATATCTCTACAACACGAGTACAATGCCTGTGCTGCATGAGGACTGAGGAGTCTCTGGTGACGAGTGGTGTACGAGTACTGTAACTACATACGTACTGAAGTAGCTACAGAGTACATAACAGTGAAACACTGCACAAGCTACAATTTACAAAGCCACCTGGATTCGGCTTCTGGATGGCCACCGATTCTTATCTTCATGGTCCGCTAGCCTGATTGCCGGTGTAACATGAGCCCAGTACACACGAGTCCCTATCACTACTAGTACGGCAGTAGGCAGTACAACTAGGGTAGTGGGGAAGGGGTCATGTTCATCAACTAACTTTACTTCATGTTGTACAGTAATACTAATAGTTACTCCATCCATGAAAGTACTTTACGTAAGTGCAATAGAGTGGTTTCACATTTTATCCCATGACCATACCTGACAGCCATGTTAGTTCCGACTCCAGTCAACCCTTGATCTACAGGTCACATGATGCCGGCCATGTTGGTTCCACTGTCCACATTCCAAGATCACTTTCTACACAAAGTTAGGCACAATCATCATGATCATGACAAAGATGTAAAACCACCTCATACATCATGTCACCATCATTGTACAGTATCGCACTCACTCAGTCCGCCTCAAAGACCATGCGACCGCCGACGCCCCTTTCTTGGCAAAAACGGGTTAAGTGTTGGATACACCCGCTTGATGATTGTGTTCCTCTACACGCCAGATGATGTAGCCGCGAATCCGGCTAGCTTTGCTTTTTTGGCTACTCGCGTGTGTGAGACAGTCTCAGGAGAGCAAGTACTGGCATCCCACTTCGGATAGACCTAGGCTACAGTCCAATGACTGTAGCCTAGGTCTATCCGAAGTGAGATGACTGTAGCCTAGGTCTATCCGAAGTGGGATGCCAGTACTTGTTCTCCCGAGACTGTCTCACACACGCGTGTATCCAAAAAAGCAAAGCTAGCCGGATTCGGGGCTACATCATCTGGCGTGTAGAGGAACACAATCATCAAGCGGGTGTATCCAACAGTCACTGAAGTCCAAAGCGTCCTCCAAACTCTGCATAAATAACTCCCCATCCCCCTACCCCCCCCCCCCCCCATCGCCTACCCGAAATGGACGTGTGCAGTGTAGCCAATCTTCGTCACTCTTGTCCCTGAGCAGCCACAACATGGTACACGCCCATACGGCCATAGTGACTAGTGTACAACAGAATAGTGTTGTAAAAATAATAAGTATGCTATACTATCCTGCCGCCTACTGAAAGTAGTCACAGGTGATATCACAAGCGCGGTACCATTACCAGCACGTCACACTAAGATTTACAGGTGTTCTAGAGTCGACGGCGATCTGTCCCTATCAACAGCCGGTGAGCCAGTGACATTGGAAGCGAAAGTGTTTGACCAATCGGTGCTGGCAGAGCGAGATGATAACCCCCTGCTGCCATCCGACAGCCGTCCAGCAGCCGGCCTTGCAGTCCAAAGTACTAACTGGACAGAGACAGGACATGCTAACGCCACATAAACATACACAATGAATGGTCAATTGTAATAATTTGAAACTCGGGTATTGAGCCAATAATAAAATACGGAGATGTATATAGTATCTAGTAACAGTGGTGGAGAGTTACTCTTAACTCGTTTTTATTATGTCCTTTTCCTTTCTACTATTATAATAATTGTCCGACGTATGCTGGTGAAATGTGTATGGTCGCCAGTTCAGAATCGCGCGCTGCTTGCCCGCCGTATTGCTAGAGGATTCCTACACTGGGATTGTGTGAGGATTGCTAAACTGGGATTGTGTGAGGATTGCTAAACTGGGATCGTGTCGAAACTAACTAGTTACTTGAAAGACATAAACACACAATGGCATTGTCTTACACAGTCACTGCGCGTGGATTATGCTCATAACATTCAGACTCGTGTGTGATCTTCTTTACCGGCCTCGTGAGAGGCTGGATATCACTACCTGTCCAACGTTCGATAAGCGTCAGACCCCCAGCGAACCACCTAGAGACTCTTGACTTACCAACACTGTTTTCTGTTATTGTTGCTATACAGTACCTATGGGAAGGTTGGGCTAATACCTGTGTGGATTCGATCAGGCAAATGCAGTGTGACGAGCGAATGAGTTCATGTATCCTATCTTTGTGGCAAAGTGTTTGCACGTGTGAATGTGCGTATGTCTGCGAAGCTGAGCACTCACGTTAGTCGCGATCACATCCACATGATGCGGGTACGTCTAGACTCGCTCTGGCTGCCATACTCTGTTCACTGTAGCAGCCTGCGTAACAAGTGACCGTTCGAACCTCGCAAGCTCTCGAACACGTGTCCGATCGGGGTTGGTTAAATTACTGAGATAGCGGTTTGACCGGTAGCTGGTCACCAAGCAGAAGTGAAAAGGCAGTTAGCTAGGGTAAGCGCTCTCCCTTACCTCCTGCCATGCCATCAGCTAGCTTGGTTGCTGCGAGATGGACAGCCAGGGAACCTGCAAGAGGCCTAGATAGAGTGTCGAAAGGTTCGCATTCCCGCCGCCGCGATACAGGTGTGATACTGGCTATGAGAGACTTGTACAAACCGGTAGCGGCAGGCAAGATCAGCCGAGCCACACTGGGACCTGCAGATGACGGTGTGAAGGCGATGGTGCACGCTGCACCTGTTGCACCCATGACCCAGTGCGACTGTCAGCCCACCATCTGACCACGACGGCCGACTGCCTTATCTTCAGCGTGGCACACTGGATCTGTATAAAAGTCATCATACCCTGGCATGGAACTTCATTTCACTACGTTCTAAGCCTTTCCAAGAGCACTTGTGGTGGTGTTGTGTAAATAGACCAGATAATCCAAGGTTTCAAACTCAGCTTACCCTGTTCTAAATCAAACATGAAGCTCCTTCACGCGCTATTCGTACTGGGACTGGCAGTCGGCACCACATTCGCAGCAGTAGACGAAGATGAAGTCGTGGATGCCGAAGACGATCTCGAGCTTACGAGAGTAAGAGAGCTGTGTGTGTAGTACTGTATTGTAGGTTGAAGTCTGTTCCCAACCCTTCGCCTAGTTGCCCCATACCCCAGTTGTTTGGCTTTCCTCCTTCCTCTTACTTCCTCCTCCTCCTGAGTCCTCTTCCTCCTTGCTGTCTCTTTTCACAGCCCCCTCCCATCTGCCATTTCCCCTCCCCTTTCAGTCTCTTAGTATTCCATACCCATCCCCACTTGCTCCCAATGTTCCACACCTTTCCGTGGCGACTACGAGTCGTTAGCATCACTTCTTGCAACCTGTCTGTGGTGCATAGTCGTGGGTCCCATACTCCGCATGGCTTGGCTGCTGATCTAGACTAGGCTGTCGTTGTTGTGTTCAGGATGATAGTGAAAGTAGAAGTACTTGTGACGGTGCTCTAGCGAGTCACCTACAAGACACTACTCTGAGAGTTGATACATGTACATTATACATGTATCCTGAGTACTGCATGAGTCTAGTACTGCATGTATACTGCATGAGTACTGCATGAGTAGTTGCACTCCAACATGACTGTCCTGTCGTTTCTGTGTATGTAAGGTGCCCACTACGACGTGACCTTTTGTTAGTTAGGTCGTAAGGTTGTGCTATAGTGATAATTACAGCATCTTGCTAGTGAGTGGTTTGAGATCTTGCAGCATACACATACTTTTATGGTAATAAAGACAGGTCGTGTGCAACGCTGGCATTCTTTGTGTGGGCTGGCGGCGTGAAACTGCCGCCGCTCAGCCTTCCTCTCACCGCAGTGTAGTCGCACACGTCGCATTAAGGAAGCCCCATGACGTGCTGACCTAGTCTGCCGCCAATGTAACCCTGATCCCATCAGGGACCCAGCCAGGCAGGTGGTTGATTCGTTGCCCTCGATACTGACTGCATGGTGGCTGCCTGTGCTCGCTTAGTGCGTGAGAGAGCAAGCCACTGTTAGATAGTTAGGTAACTTTGCGACTAACTAATGACTTGGTCTCATTACCAGTGTACGGCAGGAAGGCTGGGGGCAGGATGCCTGTTCGTTCAGCCGTGGTGCATACGCTAGCTCATTCGGAGACGGAAGACCATTTTAGGGAGCTGATTAGCAGCGGAAGACTGAAGGAGCCCTGCGAACTCACGGACACAGTGACATGACGCTGCTTCCGAGTGACTCTTGTGCATAGTGCTTCGTGTAGATACCATGCGAATTACAGTGTTAGGGAAGAACCATGCCCATCGATACCGACATCCAGGTCTTACAATGTATACTATTGCGTCTTCCCCATGCGGCCCAGTGGCACTGGCAGTGCTGAACGGAACCTACCTTCCAGTCCTAGTCTTCCGATACGTGTGTCGGGAGTCAGGCATCCGTAAAGGAATGCTAACAACAAGGCATCTCGAAATTCTTCCCACCTATCTGCTTCCCACGTGTCCGTCTCGATACCACGGTTCGAGTGCTTACTGCGGAGGCTTTCATCATTGCTCAAGACTCAGTCACTGCATGTTTTAGGCTGCACTACATGTATACGCGCACAGACTAGAGCATCGCTCCTTCTTCAACCATCTTCGAGTCGTATCCCGTTACACAGCGATCTGATTCCCTCCTTGGTCCTTTCCGTGTCGTGTTCCCAGATACGCAAGGAATCGGTCGGATCAGAACGCATTGCATGCGAACCCCACTGGTCGGCTGGTCACGATTGCACTAACCGACACTCAATTCAAGTCCCAGACGTCTGGGAATGGTATCATGCATGATGCCGAGATGTCGGTCTGATACTAGTGAGGCTGCATGAATCAGGACTACTTCCGGGATCAGGGCCTGGGAACTGGGCCCACCCCCCCCCCCCCCCCCCCCCCGCATCCTACCCCGAAATCCAAGTAATGAGTGGGCACCCGATCCAGACTACACTACGTAGATCTACATGTATACAGTGGCCCAGGCGGCCAAAGGAAGGAGTGCCACGACCGCGTACCGTGAGGCAAACATCCTAAGCAGTTTTCGGCCTTGCAGACCTTGCCATGCTAGCTACGATATTCGTAGTGCAAGCCACCGCGTCGATCGACCTCCTCCATGATCCCAGTCCGTTTCAACGACGTTACGTGAATATGCATGGGGCAATGCCGTCTTTGACAGCCTGCTGTCGGCCGGAGTTGTCGACCTGCGGCAAAAATGCTGTCGTTTGTCGGCAGGTTGGTCAGCTAACGTTACCTGACACCGTAGTGTGGCGGTGGAATTCAATGCTCACTTTCTGGCAGGCCTGGTGCGCCGGTAGCGGATGGAGTTTCAGTGCTGGAGGCAGTAGGAGAAACGGAGAGGGTCGGAAGGGTGCGTCAAATGTCCATTGGATTTCTATGGTCGCCTTTCCATTGTCTCAAGCAACCAGCTATCCTCTTTGGTCAATCAGATAGTGGTTATCTTGACTCAGTCATTCCTGGCCGCGTAAGGAGAACTGTGAAACTGATAGTGTGAAGTAATGGCTACTTCGGGAAGGCATCAACACTGGCGTTGCCAGGTGCATTGGAAGAATGCAAACTCGAACATTGTTCTGTCGTAGGTACGGATCCACAACTAAAATCAAGCGCCTGAAAATAGAGCGGCATGTAGTGTTCGTATCTAGAAACGTCCAGAAGACTATACCATGGCTTAAAAATTACCAAAGCAAGTCCAAGGCGTTGTTCAACATTCAAATGGCATTCATGAAGTGTCCATGACATTGATACAGCATGCATTTGCAGTTACTCTGGCGCTGGTTTGTTCAGGAGCATATTGCTAGGTTTCAGCAATATCGGACACGACTCCAATGACGCAAACCCTGCACTGGACGAAAGCAATCATTGGAATACCAGTGCCGACAAGCATTGCCGCACTTCCAGTTCCATGTCTGATTGTGTACGTAACGTTCATTCCTGGAACATGAAATGGCTCTACTACAGTACAGTCATGGTACAGAGCTGGTGGACCAAAGGTGTATAATGTCTGTTGTAATCAGGGAGTCGTACAAACTCCTGGTTGTATTATCTTGACCTAGGAACTGTAGCATACCATACGCTGCACTCTTGATGCCCACTACTATCCGTTGACCTTCTGACGTTGGTCTTTTCTTGTCGTTGTCTTTGCGTGCAGGCGAGACGTCAGGTAGTTGCCCAACCCGTGTACCAAGTGCCAGTAGTAGCCCCTGGCCAGCCCATTGCGGCAAACCCCACCGTCAGCCAATACTACGAAACCCTGGAGAATGCACTCGTCAACTTGGCCGGTGAGTTATCAAGTGAAGCGTTAGTTACACAGCAAACACAGAATCATGGTCAAATTCACTCTTTGTTTAGTTGCACAGCAAACACAGAATCATGGTCAAATTCACTCTCTGTTTTGGTGTATGATGAAACTACATTGTTCAACTCGGATGGTGAGCCAATACAATTATGGTGAAATAGGAGAAGGACAAAATGTCAAACTCCTTGTCAGTTTTGTGCCGTTTTGTCGCACTCGCTGACTGTATAAGAACTCCTTGTCAAACTCCTTGTTAGTTTTGTGTAGGGCTGAAACGATTATACCGAATAATCGAGTACTCGTTTGATAACTCTAACGATCGAGCAATCGTTTAGATTACCGATTACGATTATTTTGCGTTTTTTAATTTTAAATTTCTTACGCACTGCACGCGGGACTCGCCTTGTTACATGCTGTCAAAATCGAAAAACAGTCCTACAAGTGTAGTGTAGTACAACGAAGCTGGAGCATGAAGCTCGAAGGTCAAGGTCGCGTCCGGTCTGCATACATAACACTTTTTTTGTGCAAAATTTTGTACATATTTCCACTTTTGGCCATTCTACGTACACATTCCAGGTGCGGCCTCTTAAAGATTATAATAGAATAATCGATCGTTATGATAAAGAGTAATCGATTGGGCTAAATGGATGATCGTTTCAGCCCTAGTTTTGTGCCATTTTGTCGCACTCGCTGACTATAAGATCTGGTTACGTTGGTGGACAGTTAGTCATAACTCGTAACATTTTGTCCTTCTCCTTTTTTCACCATAAACTGCATTGTAGTTCTAACTGGTTCATCTTGTCCCGTGAATGGTGTGCCTCTGCATGCTGGGCGCAAAGTAACCAATACACAGATCAGTATACTATTGCTTGTAGTGGAGGTGGCCTATGTGCCTAGTGCCAGTAGCAGTAGCAGTGGGTGTAGCGAGGTAACATGTTGACACTGATCCTAAGTAGTTTAAAGACATGTTTACTTGTGGCATTATGGGGCGCTCATCTAGTAATAGACTTATAGCTGTACAAGTAGATCCAGCTCATTTTGGAGCTTGTATTTCAAACAAAGCCATTGCATGATGCTTCCTTTGGTGAGCACTAACCTTGATCTAGCTGGTGACAATTTAATGCAGACCATTATAACTTACGTGTACTTCAAAGTATGCGTCAAATACAATGTATCACATGATATGCGTATTCTCTGAAGTGATGTCAGCCAGAGGTCCAGTCTGCATCCGCTGTATGACTAACCATCGCTCATGTTCTGGGGCGGTGGCAGCGGCGGCCATGATGGTGGCGGCGGCGGGCGTGTGACTCTCTGTCCTAACATGTGTAGCTGTGTATCGTTTCACAGTGGTGTCGTCGCGGACCAAGCCAGCGGCTCACATCGTCGGAAACGCACAGGCCAGCTGGCACGTCAGCTCACAAGGTAGGGATGTGTGAGGTCACTTGCATACATGTACTAGTACATGTTGGTGGCGTGTATAGCGTGAATGCCTTGTGTGACATCTTGGTTTCATTGCATGCGCATGCTCTATGCACATGGTGATCATTTGTAATGCCCGAGTTGTTGCAATGACATAGAAAATGAAGAATTGTTTTATGCTTTCAGTTATGTACCATGCTATGCAAATACCTACGAGTATGACATCATTGCCAATATCTAATGACATCGTTGTAAATGTGCTATGTGATCATTGGCACTCTTATTAGTGTTATACTAGTATTAACACCACCAATCACATGATGCTCACTGTTCAAAATCAAACCTTGAATATAAAGTGGCTTTATAATGTCACATTGTGCATACATATCATGTGGTGGCTGGTGTTCCTTTGTAGGTCCTCTGAAGATCTGGAAGGAGAAGGTGACCAATGGTGGCATGAAGCTGGACCCTACGTCACATGAGCTTATCGTGCCCACGAGTGGCCCATACTATTGCTACGCTCAAGTCTATTTCAACACTGGTATGTTGCTCAGGTCATAGCTGGCATGGCCTTCTTCACACAGAGACGACTGTGTGTTTATCATAGCCTATTTACGTATGCCACTGCAAGACATTTGCAACCATGGGTGAAAATGCCTTTGACGAACACTTTGGAGCCGGCATGCCACAGTTGTATGATGTATTCTGGTATGTGTATATGTGTGTGTATGTGCCTTTCCTCATGTGATTCACATTCCGCTTTACTACCATGTGGTTGTACCCCATTGCAGGTCGTGAACAGGCGGCCGGTACCAAGCCCCCATCACCGCGTCATGAGTCCGATGCTCGCTTCTACCTATTCGTCAACCAGAAGGCAACATTGCTCAGCAGTGAGCAGCCAGCCATTGAAGTATCGGCTTACACCGGTGCCGTCATGCAGCTTAACGCACAGGACCGCATCAGCGTGCACGTATACACGCCCAACGTGCGTGTGTGGCGTGGCGAGGATCACTCCTTCTTCGGTTGTTACCTCATCTAGATCTCCATGCTCTCGGCCTACCCAGGCGTGCATTGGAATGACACATGAGGTATTGAAAAATCTACAAGTGACAATGACACGGTAATAACTACAAGCTTATGTTCAACAATATTGTATAGCATTGAAAATTCTCTAATGGCAGTGTGCCCAATCAATTGCTACAGCCAGATGATAACCTTCTTATTGTTTTATACTTCTATGATACGAAAGACACGCTTGTCGTGCCTGCTTAATCAATTTTACTGAGCACACGACTACCTAATAAATTCAATATATTAATATTAATCCTAAACCGAGTTATCTTTGTACAGAACGCGTTAAAAAACTGCTAAACCCAGACTACTGACCTCTCTCTCACTGCCTCTCTCTCTCTCTCTCTCTCTCTCTCTCTCTCTCTCTCTCTCTCTCTCTCTCTCTCTCTCTCTCCCCCCCCCTCCCTCTCTCATTCTCTCTCTCTCTCTCTCTCTCTCTCTATCCTCTGCCCTTTTCGTAATTCAGTTAATCTGATCTTCTTCCTTCGACGTACTCATTCCCCTGTATATTTGTGACTTCTTATATAAGAATGTCCTTTACGTGAATTAATTCCATTTTCGAATGACAATCTTAGGATCTGTCCTGCACACTGAAAAGTCCCCGTCACTGTCCACTCCCTGCTATCCCGTGAATCGGGGACACCTTTATTTTGCATCACTAAATTGCATGACATAGTCCGCTTGATCTAAATGCTGACTCTAGCTAACCCGTGATTCTGACTGAATTCAAGTGTGAAGTAACAGTTAGTACCCCCCACCTGAAGCCAGAAAGGCACCTATGGGATGGGTTGCAGTCTAAATTGACATACTGTTTTCAGAATTTAAACTCGGATGTTGAGCCAAAGTGATCATGGATAAAAAGAAAGGACAAAATGTTACGAGTTACGACTAACTGTCCACAAACGTAACCAGATCATATACAGTGAGCGAGTGCGACGAAATGGCACAAAACTGACAAGTCGTCGAATGTCCCAGTTCTCCTTGTCAGCTTTGTGCCATTTTGTCGCACTCGCTGACTGTATGATCTGGTTACGAAGGTGGACAGTTTGTCATAACTCGTAACATTTTTTGTCCTTTCTTTTTATCCATGTTTTCAGAATATAAAAGAAAAATTTCAGCTTGGCATTACTTCAATGGCTCTCAAATGGTTCATGAGCTACCTAACGGACTGCTGTCAGCGAGTCGTCCTGAGCAATGGCCAGTCGTCCGCCCTCTCTCCCTGTGAGTGTGGTGTTCCTCAGGGAAGTGTGCTGGCTCCTCTTTTGTTCTCCATCTACACAATTGAAATAGAATAGATCACAGCTCCAGCCCACTCACAACTGTTTGCTGATGATATCCTGCTAGACGCCATCAGTCAATCTGTCGAATTCTTGAACTTAACCCTCTCCCGTTCGGTCTCCAACCTGGCCAATTTTCTGGAAGGAAGAGGCTTTTAAATACTAAATCCCTCCAAAACCCACGTTCCGGCCCTACATGCGTCCCGCAGGCAGCCCTTGTTACTTTACATAGAATGCAATGGAAATCACCTAGCTCAGACCACAACTGCTCGATATCTAGGTCTACATCTCGCCTCCCAGCTTCGGTGGGAGACTCAAGTTGCAACTATCACACGAAAGACCTCCCAGAAACTGACGGCGCTGCGAGCCATTCGCTCCTGCTTAACTGAGCAACAAGCCCTGCTATTTTACAGATCGCTAATACTACCGGACATGTTATATGGATCCAATGCCCTCTTCTCGCTTCTCTCTGCGCACCAACGGCATCAGCTTTCGGTCCTCGACAAGCGATGTATCCGCTGCGTTGCCAACCAGCCATTCCCCTCCCACACAGATCCCATCTACACCTATCTTGGCCTCATCCCCATCATCCAAAATGCCCATTGTAAACTCCGCCTCCTCATGCTTCGTATCCACACCGCCAGAATTAGCAATCTCCTGTCCAAGCGCCTATGTCGCCAGACTGAAGGCGTCACTCGGATCAATGATCCAAATGCGTATGTTGTCCCTGCCACCAGGCGAGTTTCTGGTGACTGTCGGCCGCTCGTTTCTGCTGTTAGATTATGGAACGCCCTGCCCCAAGAGTTCAAGTCACTCGTCTGCCATAGATCATTCAAGAGACTTCTAAAGGTGTATTTTTATGGCTAGTCAGCATCTAGGCTTAGTTTAAAGTGGACTTGGAGTCGTCCTGCGAAGTGACTCAACTGTGTTTTTTGTTTTGTTTTTGTTATGTTTGTCTTTTGTTCTCTTTCTTTTTTCCCTTGTACTTTTTCCTTTCTCTTTTTTTGAGTATTTGAAGTCTGTGTTTTTCTCTCTTTCGTGGAGGCTGCTTGTTGTATCCTTGGCTTTTGGCCGTTACTTTATCGCCATCATAATATTGGGCACCATTGCCCGTTTGGTCTGTGATACAAAATAAAATTTCAACAACAACAACAACAACAACAACAACAACAACACAGAGAGAGAAAGGTAGATAGATAGATAGATAGATAGATAGATGTAGAGAGAGAGAGAGAGAGAGAGAGAGAGAGAGAGAGAGAGAGAGAGAGAGAGAGAGAGAGAGAGAGAGAGAGAGAGAGAGAGAGAGAGAGAGAGTCGTAAATTTATCCTCCAATCCACTTACAGAGCACCTCCATTAGTGGAGCCCCACGTATGTATTCGACGTAAATCACGGTAAACAACTTTCCGTGAGTGGAGTGTAAACTCGCAAATTCACGGGTTTTCCCGTCCATGTTGCTCAACTATATACGTGGTGCGGAACTTCTCTAATAAGGACAGAAATCCCCATTCGGAAGAATAGAGAAAGAGCAGCCAAATCTTGTGCGTTGCATTCAATGCTCGAGGCGACGCAAACATACACAATACAGGCAGGCAAAACTTGTTTCTATACGATGTACGTGGGTCCGACAAAGGGGCCTTCACAAGAGCTGTATGTCGTTCCTGAAACTAACATTGCCGATGTCGCGGCACTTTGACCCTTACCTCCCTCCCGAATGAAGAATATTAATTTTGTTTTCTGTCAAAAACTGTTATCGTATGTCATGTCATACAGTGTAGTACCAGAAGCACGTGTACAGTTTGGTCTATTTTGTGATTTGCACGGGTTCGTCCTCCCCCCACGAACTTTGCTTGTTTAAGGGACAGGAAAACAATTCTTATGATGGTGACTCCTAATGTTTCGAGAGAGCGTGCACTTACAGACCTCACTTTGCTGGCTTTGTTCGCATACATGAAAAATCTCTACTAGCTTTGTACGGTGGTGTGGGATGGAGTTGCAGCGTAATAACTAGCTTAGCCATAATCGTATGCCCATCCCTAGCTATGCTCGTGCACACGCATCCCCGCCGGACATGTCTGCCTACCTACGGCGGTACAATTTAAAAGGTTTATGAAATCTGCCATTCTGGCGTTTACATGCTTCTAGCTGCTACTGTTGCATTTTGTGCTGTTGTGCTGTACATGGCTGCACTAGCTGTGCTTGCTGTTGTGCTGTACATGGCTGCACTAGCTGTGCTTGTTGTTGTGCTGTACATGGCTGCACTAGCTGTGCTTGCTGTTGCACCTGTACACACGCATACAGTCCATGCATGGCTGCGCTTTGGACCTGTTTTCGTTACCAGTATCGTCATTCCTCGTTGCTTGGATGTATTTCTTAGGGAACGTAATTAATCGTGCTGGTCTGCATTCGCGAATCTCTATAAATTATTACATAGGCCACAGGTACTCATCCCTGGTGGATATACGTGAACAAGACCAATGGGACATAACCGTCGCATACGTTTTTAGTAGACTGAAGACAGGTACCGACCATCACTGTGTGATCTTCGTCTGCCGTTATCTTAGAATCGTTATGCTCCAAACATTCTCGAACAAAGAATAACTTTTTGAAAGGTAGCATTTCGATTTCGTTTATTTATTTATTTATTTATTTATTTATTTATTGCAGCATCTCATAGCACAGTGAGAACACCGGCCAATACAAAGAGAGAGGGTGTTAGCCAACCACGGCAAGGAAGGGAGAAGGGGAGGAGAAGAAAAAAGGAACCGGCATGGATAAGAAGTGATTGCAACAAAATGAGAAACGCAAAATCAAAGTCAAGGCGCAACAAGGCTCTTAAAAAGGCGGAGGGAAGAAAGGTCCTTAGCTTCTTGGGGAAGTGCCAGCCACGCAGAGTACGCAGTGAAAAGGGGAGAGTGAAGTAGAAAGGAGGACTTGGGTTTCGGAAGGGAAAGGGAGTTTCTCGTGCTACGGGAAGAAAACCAGTTGAAACAGTGGAGGTGAGGTGGACACAGATTGAGTTTGAGAGAATGGATAAGGGTGACAAGATGTGAATTACGTCTCTTAGACAAAGGGGTAGTGTGAGCAAGGGCATAAAGGGTGGAAGATGGGAGCATGCGGGGTTTCCGGAGGAGGATTTTTAGAACTTTTTTGTGCTGAATTTCGAGCTTTTCAGCACGGGTTCCAAGAGAGAGAGTGTGTGTGTGTGGGGGGGGGGGGGGGGGGGTGGTGGTGATTGTCACTCACCGGTGCATGTATTACATCGTAAACTACTGTAATATCTCACGGTGTGGTTTTGGCGCCGGGGACGAGCTGCTGAAGCTAGCATTGTTTGCCGTTGAAAGGGTGGAGGTTAAGGCTGGATGGAGAGTTTTTGTATCTGGGAGTGATGAGAAACACTACTCCCTGACTCCTATGTAACAAAGCTAGGTTGCTTTCCCTTCAGCTCATGACTCCATTACCAGAGTTGTGTGCACTTGCGACAAACCTCAACAGACCAGCGGTATAATATCACATGTCTAGACACTCGACCTGAATTGGTGTAGGCCTTGAAAGCACATAGGGTTTGCGGCACAGGATCAGATGAAAGATCTTGGTGCGAGGAGGCTGCGAATGCTGTGTCAGTTCCTCCCAATCAAACCTGCATACCGGTATATATCGTACTACATTCCAGTGAAGACACTAGTCACTGCGTGCAACAGTTACTTAACTGTGAGTGCAAAATTGCCAAAATGACCGATTTCAGCCCATTTGATTTAGTATCCACCACTCACCACCATGCAGGGTATGTGTACGTGTTGTGAAAGCTTTACGTCCAAGGCGTGTACGTGTGTAACGTTATAGCACTCACAAGAACATTTGCTGGATAACATAACCTTGCTGCTCGGTGTGATGGTAACGCAATATGCATAGGCAAAGAGTTTGTAAGCGGCCCAGACCTGAATGCGGGAATAACGCAAAGTATGGCAAGAATGAAACGTGCACGGTACTGTACGATGTGTTATTATAACGAGTCGCAAATTTATCGATTGTCCAAACTCATAGGCTAGCGTGAAGATTTTAACGATCTTGTGGTCTTCAGGCATATCCGCACGTAACACATGCGAGGCATAACAGCCTCAACAGAACTTAGTATAACGAAGAAATGTAACTCGTTCAAACGTTAGATTTACTTCCTCGAAGTTTCCCGGTTATTTACATATCTTACAGTATGTAGTCTTCTGAGCACCGAGTCGAATGGCGTTAGTCAGAGAAAGGCTGCAATGTACACTGTGAAATAAATTACTTCGAAAGAGTCCACACTTTGTACTAAAAAAATGACTGCGCAACTGTCTAACTGGTCGCATGCAGCAATGTCGCTATCAAAGGAATGAGGCAAGAATTGAAGATGCATGTACAGGTTTCACTGAGAACAACCGAAGCCTCCTCGTAAAGACCATGACTATCCAACTCTGCGGCCCAAACTCGATGGGATCTGAAGTTTTCATCGTGTTCCCCCGTTCTGTATTACAGAAAGTTACACAAGGCAGACAAAACCGCTCGGTGTTGGATTATTTGAAGTGTGTATTTTCAACGATACCAAGACATTTTTTATAATTTTTAATGAGCATAAAAAAGAGTATGAAAGTATGGAATCCAAAGGGGAATTTTTCAAATTTGTTTGTGTACAGTTCAACGAAACCTTCACTTGGAAGTACTGATATGAACATGTTTTATATTTGGTACAAAGGACAATTCTGGGAGCTTCAGTATAGGCCGGAAATAATAAGGACTGAGATAGCATTCCACATGTTCAAGGCTATGAATGATGGCTGGCACGATCAACATGCAGCTGATGTTCAGTAAATGATTGTTGGGGAGAGGGGTAGTAGTCCTTGCAAAAATTTCGAATGCAGATGCTGAAGAATTCACTTCAGTCAAGGGAAACCGCAATCGTGTGGCATGAAGTGAATGTACGCTGAGCGTTGAGAGAAAGTGGTCAGACCTTTACAAGAGATGGTGTCTGGAAATGTAGCATGGCTGCAGCTGCACGGTCAAGGCGGATGTTCAACAGCGGGTGGGTTGGCTCCAGGAGATTAGAGCTGGCACCAAACACGCGCGGTTCCGCTGACTGATTTTCTTCCTCGTTCCATGGGAAATACTGCAGGACACTGATGCCGGAGAGTGTGTAGCAGGAGTGGTAAAAGTCTCTGCGCTTGGTTGGCTTATCGATGAGACCGCCGCGTCCTGCTTGACAGCAGACCATCACGTACGCCTGTAACGCTTTCGTGGAGCACAGAAGCTCATCGCAGCGAACTCCACTACTCTCCATGGTCATATGTAATAAGGGAAAGATGCCGCCAACCCAGAATGAATAGCAGCCATCCACTAGCTTGCCTGTTCGACCCTGGAATCCTCCCTCATAGCGCATCTGACGGCGCGAAGCCCAGCGAGCCAGAGCGTCAACATCGACCAGCCTCTCTTTGCCCAGCAGGATGAGAGCGGCAAACGCACAGAACGTGTAGCCGCCGTGTGCCTCCATGCCCGGGCAGCCAGAAAATCCGCCCTCGTAAGTCTGGCAGCGAGACAGCCAGCCGCCAACAGGCTCATACGCAGCACGAATGTCCAGATCCAGCAGCCTACTAACCGCCAGCGCGCAATAAGCACCACGCACGTCTGTCTCACCACCAACCTCCACATGAACCGCACCAGTGATAGGGTTCACCACGCTGCATAGGAACGTCTTCAGCTTTGGTCGATCGATTACCTGAAGAAACAAACACAGTCAAAAGAAAACACGACTGGGATAATTAGTTACTCTTAAGTCTTAACTGGACACACACACGCACACACACACACACACACACACGCACGCACACACACACACGCACACACACATACACCCACACACACGGGAATAAGGCTACAATAGAACATGTAGATTAATACAACTACTGGCAACGATTGTGCTGAACTTGTGGAATTTGCTTCATAAACCAGCAGCCATCACTCTAAACGGCTTGCAAGCACCACGGAACTGCCCCCAATCAGAAATTGAATGGCAGAAGTGACAAAAGAGAACAATTGCACGTCCTGGAAAGGACAGGTGTCCAGTTTGCTCTTTGATCCAAGAAAAAATGTAACCTTCAATGAAGGTAGAATAATTATTATGATTGTTCCCAGGTTTTAACCCTGCCTTGGAGATCAATCATTGAAGTGGATGCCACTTTTCCATTAAGAGGTTAGATTGTTCTAAGCTAAAAGGGGGTATCCCTAGTGGTCCTGGAACTCTCCTGGCAACAGCACTCTGGAACATGCAAAATACTTCGAAGTACTACTAGTACAGTCTGAGTCATGTAGCTGGTTGGATCAGAAAGTCTGCAGAAACACTCAAAATGAGCTCTGGTCATGGCACACCTGGGAATGGCATTATCAGAGTGGACACTGCTAGCACATGTACTGTGTACTACTACACTCACTGTGTGTGTGTAATGTGTTCATGTACACGGGTGTGTGTGTGTGTGTGTGTGTGTGTGTGTGTGTGTGTGTGTGTGTGTGTGTGTGTAATGTGTTCATGTACACGTGTGTGTTCATGTACACGGGTGTGTGTGTGTGTGTGTGTGTGTGTGTGTGTGTCCAGTTCATTTGCAGATTTGCCTGCTTCTCTTGCGACGGGCATATAATTATAATATTATGATACATGTGTGTGTGTGTGCGCATTTGTGTGTGTGTGTGCATATGTGTGTGTGCGTGTGTGTGTGTGCGTGTGTGTGCGTATGTGTGTGTGTGTGTGTGTGTGTGTGTGTGTGTGTGTGTGTGTGTGTGTGTGTGTGTGTGTGTGTGTGTGTGTGTGTGTGTACATGATGCACCAACAATGCTGCCAGGAAATACTACAGGGCCTGTGCGATTAGAATTTATTACACACTGTGTGTGTTTACTGCTGCTGAGGCTTCATGGGCCTCTGATCACTGCGTCCTGCTCCACGACTCGTCACGTTGTAAGTACAGTACTGTATCTACTAGTTTCTAATAGTGATGTGCCACGCTGGCCCAGCTATGCACACTCTTGTAAGCAGACAACACATTCTACACAGGGTAGTGCTCGCACCTTGTACGCTTCCTCTGTGCCAAGGCTGCATAAGGCCATCACAGCTGCATAGGTCGGTGCAACATGTGGATACTGTCCTGGTCCACCACCAAAGCCTCCTGTTACTGCTTGGCAACGACTCAAGAAGCCAACGATGTTGGACTTCAGATCATCGCTGATATCTTCTCCCAACAGATTCAGGGCATGTACTATCCAGAAACAAATCCATGTCCGACTGGCATCCAGTGATTCAAAGCTGGTGGATAACTCCCTCAGGCCGCCTAGTAAATAGTTGACATGCTTGCTGCGTAGCAATTTGACCTTTTTCAAACGACTTTCAAGAGGACATTGTAAATCGGAATCCCCTGTACCGCGCTCAGCCACTAACGGAACGCAGTATTCCTTGAATATTTCTTCAACAGATGCTTCTACATCTTTCTGCTCTTCAGAGGAAGCGCTGTCGAACTCGTCTGTATCAAAGAGAAAATCTGAAAGAGGGCTATTCTCCAGCAACGCCATTTTCCTTGCAAGGACTTACATCGTGGACGGAGTGAACTTATTTGAAAAAAAAACTGAAATTGCAGCAAGTCAAATCCAAATCCATCTCTACAACATGTACAGTACAAGCTCTCTCGATCTCCCGGGCCCGGGTCATGGCCCACATGGCGCCGTCACCATCGTGACCGATCACCTTGGTCACGCACACCCAAACCGATCATCAGCGTCAAGGACTCAACTTCTCAAGAGTAAAAATAATAATAATATTCGCGGGATCCGCGTCGGCATCGCTTGAATGTTCAGAAACACACAAACTAGCCAAGAGTACTTGCATGAAAACCGCTTTCAAGTTACATGTATACACTGTTAAAGGGAAACTGAACGCCAAAAATAAGTATGGCTTATCCGAAGGAGAATTGGGCACTGATTCCGATGAGCTATGTCTCGAGCCGATCAGAGAAGAGGAACCGTGTCAAATTTCATAAATAACACCTTCCATATTTGGAAATTGGGCTTGATGACGTGCGTACTGCTTAGCTGTCACCATGCTGTGCATGCTCAGCAGTGTAATTGAATGGAAGAAAACAATTACTTTGGTGTTTTGCAGCTCTATTTCGTTCCCTGGCGGTACCCAAATCTAGATGTAGGAGTCTGTTGAGCAGGAGAGTGACACATGTCTTCCCGAAGGCTGTCCAGCCTGCAGTGGTGATGAAGAAGACACGAATATCACCCCAAGATCGATTGTAGCGAATTGGAAAACTCATGGTGAATTTGCTTCCACTCCAAGGCAATGTCGAGGTATGAAGGGTGCTTGTACTGCCTTCCAAAGTGCAGCGGAGATGAACATGGCTTTGCATAGCTGTTGCTCTACGCCAACTTACCTACTCTTGCTGGTTCCGTAGTGGTATATTGCAAATTTCGTGGACGAACAATTCGAGTCACTAGTGGCTAGTGAGCACCACTAACAGGTGAGATTTTTCAATTTGATAAAAATTGTTTTTGTTTGAGAACTGACGGTGGCAATCATTTGACTCAGTAGGTGTCTCTGCTGCTTCTTTCCCTTCATTGGTAGGGTTGTGCTTGATAGTACAAGTGCTTGAAGTAAAATAAAATAAATAGAACATGTGGAACATAAATCTAATCAAGCATCAGTACATGTATTGCGAATTTCAACTTCAAAGCACATAAAATTACAATGATCACAAAGTTTATGGAATCAGGAGGACTCCCTGTGTTCAACGAACACAATACACACATTCTATATTGCGCGCACACATGTACACATGTGCGTGCACCCCCACCCCATCCCACAGACACACGCATGCAACGCGCACATCCATACACATGTGTGTGAACCCCCCCCCACACACACACACACACTCCTACCCATACACATATGCGTCTACCCCCAGCTCCCCCCCCCCACACACACACGTGTGCACAGACGGATACACAAACACACACACACACACACACACACACACACACACACACACACAAGTTACTTGTAAGTGTACATGGTCTTCCTGGTGCAGATGCTGGGCCAGCACAATGGAAAATACCTCCATCAAGATGCTTGATCAAGTGTTGTGATAATGGCACTGTTTGTTTGTTTTTACAAAGATGTGTGGGAAGGATTACAATGCGTTATAATTCATAATATTATTGTTCTTTGCCTTGTACTGTGCAGACCAGAATGCTTCGCCATCAACTCCTGGCTTTCCATCGGCATGGTGTTCAGCTGCAGCGGCATCTGGTCCGGGGAGTACGTTGCTGCACGTTTATGTAATTTATATTGTCGCTCGTCCAGCAACGTCAAGGCTCTGCATGTAAACACAGGAGAACACCATAATAATTATACTACTCAGGGGATAATAATTATAATTTTGGATTATCAATTTCTTGACATTTATGAGTTCCTGTCTAAACCATGTCGTGATATTGATTGCTATCTGCTCACAAAGTACCTCGTATTGTAACAATACTCTGCTTAATCACTACCCTCTGCCAATTATTAGATTCGCACAATATTCACAACATATGCAACACAATGCTGTCTATTGACACTACTTCGAACTGAAATGCTTACTACTCGTCTCCCGTTTTCAACTCCCTCTACCTTATGAATACTCTACTTTACTGGTTTCGTTTCTACCCTTTCCATTGCTGCCAGCCCCCAGTCTTTTTCAGTGGACAGCACCATATTGAAATTTTTGTGATTTGATGTACACATACTTTGAAATTGAAATTCGAATTACATGATCAGATTTTTGTTCCACATGTTCTATTTATTTCGACTTCAAGCACAACCCTATCGATGAAGGGAAAGAAGCCGCAGAGAGACACCTACTGAGTCTAATGACTGCCACCGTCTGTTCTCAAACAAGAACAATTTTTGTCAAATTGAAAAATCTCACCTGTTAGTGTTGCTCACTAGCCACTAGTGACTCAAATTGTTCGTCCACGAAATTTGCAATATACCACTACGGTACCAGCAAGAGTAGGTAAGTAAGTTGGCGTAGAACAACAGCTATGCCAAGCCATGTTCATCTCCGCTTCACTTTGGAAGGCAGTACAAGCACCCTTCATACCTCGACATTGCCTTGGAGTGGAAGCAAATTCACCATGAGTTTTTCAATTCGCTACAATCGATCTTGGGGTGTTATTCGTGTCTTCTTCATCACCACTGCAGGCTGGACAGCCTTCGGGAAGACATGTGTCACTCTCCTGCTCAACAGATTCCTACATCTAGATTTGGGTACCGTCAGGGAACGAAATAGAGCTGCAAAACACCAAAGTAATTGTTTTCTTCCATTCAATTACACTGCTGAGCATGCACAGCATGGTGACAGCTAAGCAGTACGCACGTCATCAAGCCCATTTTCCAAATATGGAAGGTGTTATTTATGAAATTTGACACGGTTCCTCTTCTCTGATCGGCTCGAGACATAGCTCATCGGAATCAGTGCCCAATTCTCCTTCGGATAAGCCATACTTATTTTTGGCGTTCAGTTTCCCTTTAAGTTTCATGGAGATCTACTCAGCGTGGATTGTTCACTCGGAAATGTTTGTCGGGAAGGAAACTGGCATGTTGAAGTAACATTTCGCGGCTCTGACTCAGTCTGAGGCCAGAGTCCATCGAACTGAGCCACTCCTTTGTGTTGGCCCATTGCCTCCGAGTTGCCCAATTTTTCGCTTCAAATCAGAGGTGGCTCCAAACCGGAAAGGCTAGAGTGCACGTCAAATTCACCTGTCTGCTGACTTCTGAAATTACAGTGGCCAGTACAGCGTAACAATAAGCCTTGTGAAGTTGTGTGTGTGCTTCCATTAGTTTTCATTGGTATAGGGTGCTTTATTGGCGAGAGGCGAGCCGCTGTTTACCTGCGACAAGAAATTGATTTTTCGAAAGACGAACTCAAGTAGGGGCGCGTGCGGATAATGCTCGAAAAGGTGGCAGATTCTGCTCGAAAAGCAGGCACGGTGAAATTGGCAGAACCATACAAACCTTATGGCGGGCAATTCCTCGAGTTCTGCTCCATTTCTTTATACACATACCAAACATGCATGAAACTTACCAGAAAAAGTACCGAATTCTGCCAATTTTTCTGCCGGCATTATCCGCATATGCCTAAACTCAAGTCGCAGTGCATGCAGTGCGAAGCAACACGTCAAAAACTCACCTGCTTGGTATGGCGCTTCTGGTCATCGCAGAGCCATGAAGTTTTGGCTTGGAGTATAACACATCGTAGTCTCACTGTGGCATATGTTCTCTAATCAAAATACCAAGAGAGAAAGTGAATATTGAGTTCGTTCCGGTTTGTAACCTACAACTTACATGTATACATGTACATAATACCTGTATCCTATTTGAAACCGTCGCCTCTACATGAAAACAGGACTCGAGCGCGCGAGTCTCGTCATCAACTCTGGTCATTCTTCTTCTTATTTATTATTATTAAATTTTTAATAGGGCAGTCCCACAGGCCATGGACTGGGCCAGATACTTTTTCAGTCTTTCTTTCTTTCGGTTTTTCCACGCACACGTACACTCACACATGCACAGTGAATTATGTTCTGTGCAAATAACACGTTGCCATTACCAGCACTGCAGCAGAAAAAGGAAACAGCCTTGGTGATAGGAGCCACTTTCCAAATTTGGCTGCTGATATGTTCGCTACGATTCTTGATCAAAACCTTTTTTTCCTGTATACCAGTATTTTCCGAGGGCCGGCATGTCCGGGCTCTCCGCCTTCTCCGTGAAATAATATCAAAAAAGGTTCTGCGTTCCGGCTCTCCACCTTCTCCGCGAACAAAAGAAAACTAGAGAAAAACAAACAAACAAACAAACAAACACAATAAGAAAGAATGCCAAGAAAAGCAGAAAATATGAGAACATAATTATATGTCAGCCTGTATAAATGAACGCAGCGATCGACCTCAACAGGGGATAGCCGCCTCGGCAACAGGGGATAGCCGCCTCAGTAACAACAAGACCAGCTGAGTCCGCTCAACAGGGGATAGCCGCCTCAGTAACAACAAGAGCAGCTGAGTCCGCGGCAAAGACCGGTGCATAGAGCCGCCTAGCACCCCTCAGGCACATCACACTGGATCGGACCAAGGCAAAGCTGATCTGGCACGGGATTGAAGCCATCACGGCACTGTAGGCCTCTCCGGTCTTGTCGGCGATGAGGGACGCTATCCTCTTGTACAGAGATGTGGCAGATTTCCCCATGCCTCCCGTAGTGGAGAACACAGCAGGAACAAAGCTGGAGTGTTCCACTTCCCGGATTCGCTGCTCATAGGCACATCGCCTGGCCTTTTCGTGACGGGTGTAGCTAGCAGCAAGTGAGTTGAGGCGATTCGAGGACGCTAAAGGGTTAAAAACCCGGACATCAATGTACAATGTAGGTGCGCTCGAACCGCCCTCCCCAGAACAATACCAAGGCACCACGTCAAGGCGGGCTTGATCGTCACCCACAGCCGTGCGGTGTCGGAGCTGCTCTCCAGTAAGCGGCTGCAGATGTGGCTCAATAGCCACCTGGCTGCCAACACGCTTCGCAAGGCGAGCTGTCACATCGCGTACCTCGTTATGGCGGAGGGTAACGGGCAGGAGAGGGCATGGCTGACAGTGAACTGCTGTCCATTAGAACGTGATGTTGGCAGACGTTCATAGTGCCAGCCATAGCGAAGATGCACAACATCACGGAACTCAGCCTTGGTGAGGGTGAAACCGTGAGCCTGAAGGGGCCGGCAGGTGAGCCAGCTGGATGCCCCCCTCCAAAGCAAGGTCTATGGTGCGTTGAAGCTCTGGAGGTGCAGCAAGATGCAGGGTGACGGCCTCGGCATGGAGCGATGCCTTTGCCTTCGCTCTCATCTGCTGCTTGTTCTTCTGCACTTCCTGCAGGGCATCGCGGAGCGTGGCAGTCTGCTGCTGAATTCGACGCACCAGGAGGCCAATGATGGTTTGGAGTGGGCGTACTGCCCCCCCCGAGGGAGGTAGGTGTGATGTGTCCAAGTCCACCATGTCGACCGGGTAGAGCCTGTAGCTGTCGCTCATCGTCGTTTACGATCCTGCCACCTAAGAGAGCGGGGATGAGCTTGCGTCTATGGAATCCTCCAATAGTTGATTGTATAAGTGTAGGGCGACCATGACTAGCGACAGGAAGTGGCTGTTTGTTTTTGTCCACATAATTATTTATTTTACGAGTTAGGTTTGTGAATAATAGTAAAAAAGAAAAAGAAAAAGGACCATTTGCTTCGCAGGTCATGAACAAACGCTGCATATGCAGCTTGGGGCTGTGACGAAGCAATACTGCCAATAGTGCTGAGCGTCATCGCCTCCTCTACCCAGGATTGAACCTTGCGCTCCATAAAGCAGCGGGGGTATTCTGCTGATCCAAACGCGGCTCCCAGATGCCGACATCCATCTGTGCGAATGTCAATTCCAGTTCCAGCAAATACATGTATGCTGGTGGCCTCATCCAGAAACTGCGGCTTGACCAGGAGGACAGACTTGGTTGGGTTGAGGAAATAGCCGTATGATGGACCTCTCTCATTGAGACGATCCCACCAAATTCGCACTGCTTGCAACTTGCCTCCTGCGGCAGAGTCATCCGCAAACTAAGACTGCTTGGCACCGTCTGTTGCTGCTTCTTCCATGAGCATGAGGGGGAGAACACCACGGGCGTACATACATGTAGCCATAGCGACCGGGTCGCTTTGGAGTTTGGGTGGTACCTTCACTGGACCTGATACAGTCACTCACGGACAATATTGCCTATATTGGCCGGCTCTCTGTATGTGTTGATGACTGTCGGAGCTAAGCGACAAGCAGGTGTGTTGGTTGTTCCGCAGGCATTACTTCTCTGGTCAGACGCATAATACATGTATGTAGTTGCATCAGCTAGTGAGGATGGCTTCTGTGTCATCCAGCTGGTGGAGGTCATTCAATCATGGCGTGAATTGCTAGCTGCTTCCACACCTCCGTCCTGCAGGCCTGGCCAGCACATACACTGTAGTTGGAGACTTCCAGCTGCGCGTTGAATTATAATCACTCGTGATGGAGAGGATGGCTTTCCCCGGCATAATCCGGCGAAGGACCTCACCTACAAGGCTACAATGTACATGTTCATGTATGCGGACTGACCGCACGTCTGGCTTCTTGTCTAGGGCCTAGGCTAGGGCCAGTAGGGGAATCAGCTATGGCCTCCAGGGGCCAGATTATTAGAAGTAGCCCCATACCATGCATACCGTGCTTACATGTGCATGACTGTATACAAAGTGACATTACTAGTCATGTACACGACGTACTAAAGCCACTCACTGGTTCTACAATATACCTTGTACAATCATGTACATGTACAATGTCTACAGGTCAGGGTTTTTTAGCCAGTTGCATGAAGTAATTAGTTGTAGAACATCAGTACCCTCAGTCACTGGTCAGTGTCGTGATTATTATTATGTTATAGCATGAGCTGATTGTTCAGTAACTGGTGGTGTCAGTGTACATTATTTATAGCGTAACTTGTTGTTCCTTGGCCCTTGGGCCTTCTTCTTTTCTATAATTTTTTCTTCCTTTTTTTTACAGTACAACCGTCACTAGTGAACTGTTCGCTCTTTTATGAAAAATATTTAGTTTTGACATCCAGGTCGCGGCTGCCAACAATTATTTGTAGGTCTACATGTCCTTGGACTTGGTACTCTCATATTCTTAGCCTATACAATCTCTCTCACATTTCTGTCCGAGTCAATTTGAAGCTTTTTATTCTTGTATTTCGCTCTGTCCATAGCGGCACATGTAGCTCCCTCCTAAAAGAAATTTTCCATACCCGCTCCTCCAGTGCACATACTACTTCCGTCACTAGGTCCCAAATCTCTTTTTCTCTGGCCTTGCCTTCTGCCCACACTAAAGCTGGTTTTTCTCGTCTTGGCTACATAGGTTCTGATCGGTGGAATATGCTGCCTTCCACTGTTCGCTCTTGTACAGATTATCGCCCATTTGTTCGTTCATGCTTAACCTTTCTAGGGGCTCCCGTAAGAAGACCATAGGTCTGTGGGAAACACCCTAGTAAAATAAATAAAATAATAATAATAATAATAATAACAATGATAACACGGTACATGTCTACTCGACCTGCTGGTTGCACCTTGGACTCAGTTGGAGCTTGTACAGTCATGTATTTTTGCTACTCATTTCATTCAAATACCATGATTCAATACAGCAGATTGAGCATTATTCAATACAGTAGTCTATTGCAGGTAAATACATGTACATGTACATGTACATGGCTGTACAAGTGTACATGACAAGTACAAGCACTTGAACTGAGTTGAAGGGAGGAAGTGGCACTCACCGTAAGTGTAAGTCAGGTCACGGACCGGTGCGCTCAGCCCGTCCATAAGTAACTACTAACTTGGCATACCGGTACCGGTACAATCATGTGACCCTGGTAAAACTGGTATGGACTCAGATGGTAGATCTACATGACTGTGTCCAACTCCAAGTAGCAAGTGAAGTA